TCTTTAACCTCAGTGCTGCCTATGATCCAGTATTATGTTTGAAATCAGGACATGTCTGGAATTAGCTTGTCTGTAAGGTCTAGTGCCCACTGTGTGATTCTATTCAAGTGGCAAGAGCTTTGAGCCAAAGCAATTTCCAAGTCTGTGACTTCCTGTTACTACGTGAAAAAAAAAAAAAATCTGATTTTGAGTCTCTTATGTGATGGGGGGATCGCACTGTATAAAGCAAGAGGCTGGATTTTTTTATTCTGGTTCCATTCATTAATTTTCTTCCGTCAGAGCTGCACCCAGTCCACACAGCACCAGCCCCTCACCGATCATCTTGGATTGTTTTTAACTACATTTGTTGTATGAAAAAGCTTCATAAATATAATTTGACTGATTGATTGATTGATCCTCCTGCAGGTAGGGGAGTCCACAGGAGCCTTAAGCGCACCACACACTGTACGACCAAAGTGGTTAGACCCTTGATTTTTCATCTCCGTGTGTGGCGTCTCTCAGGTTAGGATTATCGGCAGACAATTTTAAAATTGTCTCGTGTGAACCAGGCGTTAATCTTTCAGCAGTGGCTTCAGGCAGAGTGTGGTTAAGTGTCTTGCCCAAGGACACAACGACAGCAGACATGAGTGGGAGTTGTGAAGTAGGTCTTGCGGTGGGCTCGAACCCACAACCTTCCTGCTCAAAGGACAATGCTCTACCAACTGAGCCACTGTCAACCCATTTTATTTTTTTATTTGTTTATATTCTGGTTCCATCAACAAATATCACGTTGTGGACATTTTGTTCATTAATTTTTTCACTGGTTTTATTTTGCTATAAATTGGATTTCCTGTAGTATGACTTTTGCTTCCTGTTTATTTGTTTGCCGCGTCCTGATCTGTCTTCTCATCGTCGGTTGGTTTTCCCCTCATTTCTTGACCCTTGTTTTCTGTTTTTACTTGTGAATTAAAATTTCTCATGGCATTTATTACATGCGTTCATATCCTTAATGCAAATATGTATACGACCATGTGATCCAAGATCCAATGCATGTAATGGCCAAAGAAACTACTACTTCTACTAATAAATTATGTTATTTTGCTTTTGCTGTTCTATTGCTTTGCTGACCTATCACCGAGCTCCTATCTCCTTTATGATAATGAAACCGCAAACCTTTGAGCTGTAGCTTGAGCAGATTTTTTCACATTGACCTTTGTACTTCACAGAACGAGGCCAAATGCAGAATGAGACGATATTCATTGATTTATTTCAAACCTGCACAATACTTGATTTTACTCATATCAATATAACAGACAGATAAACTTACACTTTTAATATGAATCCAGAGTAGGACCCACACAATGTGAGAGTCCTGTGGTCCCCCAGCAGGGCTCTTCAACCTTTTTTCTCAAGATTAAAAAGGCAGAGAGCCACTCCTTAAAACAGTTGTGGGAAAAATCACTTGATGTTTTTGAGAACGCGAGCATGAGAATGGGTACTGTCTTGAATTTCTCCTACAGGGATCAATAAAATATCTATCTATCTATCTATCTGCCCATCTATCTCTCTCTCTATCTATCTATCTATCTATCCACCTATCTATCTATCTATCTATCTATATATATATATCTATCTATCACCAGTTGTTTATCAAGTCACTAGTGCACGCATTAAGTTTACATTTATAATAATTGATCATTACATTCTGAAATATTCCGTACATTTTGGATTTGGTTTTTTCTAAATCCTTTAGGGAGCTACCAGGGGAGGGTGTAGAGAGCTACTGGTGACTCCTGAGCTATAGGTTGGAACCCCGAGCTCAACATTGAAAATCAGTTCAAGGGCCACTAAAACTGTAAATGTAAATATGCACTTTATTGTACGGAAATGTGTCTTCTGCATTTGACCCGTCCTGATGCCACTGAGTCTTCCCGTCAGGAGCAGTGTTCGCCGTAGTACAACTGGAGCTGGAGGATTGACCTATTGTACATGTTTTTAGTGGTGGGGGAAACCGGAGCACCTGCAGGAAACCTACGCTGACCCAGGAGAACATGCAAACTCCACACAGAGAGACCCTGTCCCGGCCAGGATTCAAACCCAGGACCTTCTTGCTGAGAAAAGGGAGTGGTTATGGGCAGTAGAGTCTGTGCCTCAGACAGAAGCTTGTTATGTGTCTTTCATTATTAATAAGGTAAATGTAGGTTGACATTTGGACTCATGGAATCTGCTGAGTGTTTCTGCTCCAAAAAGCACGTTGTCTCTGGAGGATCCACCACCGGGACTCGCTCCAACCTCTGCTCCGTCCTCACACTCAAATACACAGAATCTAGTCAAAGTAAAATGTCAAAGAAAACCAATCAGAAAACCACATTTGGTCGACATATTATATTATATTATATTAAAAAGACCGAACAAGCTTTAGATTAGCACACAACGAGGTGTGTGTGTGTGTGTGTGCATGTGTGTGTGAGAGACATGAGATCCTGCATCCAAGGCACTTTCTATACAGTGACCTGGCATTCCAGAAACATGTCTCTTCCATTTGTCTTTAATATTTTTCCTCAAAAAAAACATTATTTTCTTTTGATGATTTGAGAACATTTGATTTCTTTCTAAAGTTTATTGTGTCTGTTTCATTTGTGGACGGCTCCTAAAGGGTTAACGTCTCTGGACCCAGAGCCACATGTGAGCCTGAGGTGTCACTCTTTCCACACACATCCCATAATAGTCAGTGATCCAGGTAACAGATGCTCCCATGATTTAAGGAATAATAATCCACAGCTGGAAAGCAGTGGAATCTGCAGCGGCAGCAGTACCAGTAGCACCAGTGGCACCAGTAGCACCAGTAGCACCAGTAGCACCCTTAGCGCCAATAGCACCACCACCAACAGTAGCATCGGCAGCACTAAGAGAACCCATAGCACCAACACCCCCAGTAGCTCTAGAGGCAATAGTAGCACCACTAGTAGCATCAGTACAGTGCCTTGCGAAAGTATTCGGCCCCCTTGAACCTTTCAACATTTTGCCACATTTCAGGCTTCAAACATAAAGATATAAAATTTTAATTTTTTGTCATGAATCAACAACAAGTGGGACACAATCGTGAAGTGGAACAAAATTTATTGGATAATTTAAACTTTTTTAACAAATAAAAAACTGAAAAGTGGGGCGTGCAATATTATTGGGCCCCTTTACTTTCAGTGCAGCAAACTCAGTCCAGAAGTTCAGTGAGGATCTTTGAATGATCCAATGTTGTCCTAAATGACTGATGATGATAAATAGAATGCACCTGTGTGTAATCAAGTCTCTGTATAAATGCACCTGCTCTTTGATAGTCTCAGGGTTCTGTTTAAAGCGCAGAGAGAACCATGAAGACAAAGGAACACACCAGGCAAGTCCGAGATACTGTTGTGGAGAAGTTTAAAGCTGGATTTAGATACAAAAAGATTTCCCAAGCTTTAAACATCTCAAGGAGCACTGTGCAAGCAGTTATATTGAAATGTAAGGAGTATCAGACCACTGCAAATCTACCAAGACCCTGCCGTCCCTCCAAACTGTCATCTCAAACAAGGAGAAGACTGATCAGAGATGCAGCCAAGAGGCCCATGATCACTCTGGATGAACTGCAGATAACTACAGCTGAGGTGGGAGAGTCTGTCCATAGGACAACAATCAGTCGTGCACTGCACAAATCTGGCCTTTATGGAAGAGTGGCAAGAAGAAAGCCATTTCTCAAAGATATCCATAAAAAGTCTCGTTTAAAGTTTGCCACAAGCCACCTGGGAGACACACCAAACATGTGGAAGAAGGTGCTCTGGTCAGATGAAACCAAAATCAAACTTTTTGGCCACAATGCAAAACGATATGTTTGGTGTAAAAGCAACACAGCTCATCACCCTGAACACACCATCCCCACCTCAGCTGTCCTACTCACAAACAGCCACATCTGGAACAATAACCCAACTCAAAGCTCTCTCCCCGCGGCTGAAAACGAGTGTGTGTGTGTGTGTCTCTGGAGATCGCAGCTCCAGGGGCCGGCCGCGATATATCGACCCAGAGAGAGAGAGAGGTGTGCGGGGGGCTGCGGAGAGGAAAGAGCTGCCCAAACATTCTCACATCTTTAAAAGAGACAAAGAGAGGAAGCAGAGCCAAGGCCACAGCTGCAAGAGACAAAGGAACGCCGCGTTACCGCATGTGCTCCGGCGTTATCGTGGACTCAGTCATAACAAGCCTCTTCCACACCGAGACAAACCCCAAACACACTGAGTGACACCGGCATCGGCAGCTATCCCGTCTTGCGACCGAAACCTTGTGCTGAGACTTCCACCAAATAAAGGTGTAATTTAGACAGAAATAAAAGTGTTTTCTAATGTGTAGGTCCAATTTAACAACATACAGACAGACAAGACAACAAAATAACAAACAAGCAGTCATAGGAGCCATTGGTCCACTTGGAGAGGGATGACCACTGTCCATAAATGTTGATAAATGTCCTTTAATATAAATGAAAGCAGCAGTTGGAAGAATGTCATCGGACTGTGGACATGAAGAAATACTTTTCAAAGGCAGATTTATGTCGGAAGTTTCCCTATTAGCCTAAAAGGAGCAAGACATATCCAGCTCTATTAAATGTAAGAAAGTGAATTTTGTCTTATATTTAAGGTTTCCTGCGACCCGGCAACGGATGAAGCGGAAGCAATGGATTTTTAAGGGTCTGAAGATTTTACAGTATGATATTAATTTTAAAAAGTTAGCTTAATTAACACGTTTCGGCCGTGGACTTCAGCTGTTGTTGCCGGATGTGATCAGTCTGAAAGATCTCACAGAATCACAGAAAATAATGTATTTGCCATCGGCCTCTCTGATGTGGAGACACTGGTATGGCTGTATTTCAAAGTCATAAGTAATATTTATGTCTTGTTTGTCTGTTTTTAAATTGAACCTTGAGTCTGCATTGAATATAATTGATTATAATACATCATAATACAGTATTTGTGCTAAATGCAGTGTGCAGTGTGGGTCTATAGGGAGACCACCGGGGCATTGGGAGAGTCTGTGCACGGGCCCCATGGCTGTTGGCAGACCTCCTGGGAGAGTCTATGTTGGAGACGGGGGTAAAGAGCGGGAGGCCAGGGCACAGCCGGAGAACATGTGGGAGTCCGGGAATCATCTAAAACAAGCGAGAAAGGAAGCGTGTAGACAAAGAGCAGAAGCTGAGCAAGCGACACAATAGGGCAATAGTTTAGAGTCAAAGTTATTGTTCTAATACAGAAATAACTCCATGTTCCATTGAGTTACAGAAAATAAATTGTCCTGGCAACTTCTTTTTTCCGTTTTAGCCCTTTGAGTCGCCTTGTGTGTGAATTGTGCTCTACAAATAAACTTGCCTCGCCCTTGGAGATACAGTATTGTAGTTTCACTTTAACTTTATTAAAACATAGATTGGCAATTTAGTTCCATCTCTTCCTGTTTAAATAAAGATAAACAAGAGCATCACGTGACCAGAATCAATAGTAGTGATCTGAGTAGAACAAAGTGTCACTGGAACCCCCAAAGCCGTCGTTTTGACTGCTCCCATTCAGACCAATTATTATGATAACTGAAACTGAAATACAGTAACAACAAAAAATGCTATTGCTAACTTCTCCAAGTAAACAGTGTGTTGCCGTGGTAACTAGCACTTGATATTCTCTGCTGGAAAATGAGTTCAAGGTAGAGCCAGCCACATTTCAAAAGTAAAAGATGATTTCATGATACAAAAGAATGACATAGAAAAAAAAAGTCCAAATCCATTGTTTCTAAAAAAAAAAAGCAAAAACATCCCAGAATGCTGTTTTTTGTGTTTTGGTAGTGCACCGTGGGGAGAGCAGGAAGGATGGGGCTGCAGCATCCTCTCCCAGGGGGCGGGGCTATGGGGGAGAGGGGGCGGGCCTGTCTGCAGACCCACGCACACACACACAAACACACACACACACAGTCGCACAACAGCAGCTACAGCCGCCCAGTGCAGGAGTCCTGAGTCTGGGAAAGTCTGGGACAGCAATAGCACAGAGAGACACAGGACCAGAGACATACAGGAGCAAGACAGGATACAGACGGGACCAGGGGACATCCAGGAGACAGAGGGACACTTACGGGGCAAGAGCAGAGGAGGACATCCACGGGACAGCAGGGACAGCAGGAGCATCAGTCTGGCTCTGCTCTGACGGTAAGGACCACAGCCTGAGCTCTAGGGCAGTGCACGATTAACCACAATTGAATCAAAATGACCATTACTGTGGTAGATATTGGCAAATCACAAAGATCGTGGTTCTTTATTTTTTATTATTTGCATGGGCTTACCTTACAACCTGAGCCCAAGCAAATTCCTTGTTAGTGACTTCCTGTTACTTAATAAATAATTGTTTTTGGTTCTGATTCTGATTCTTGGCTACTGAAAATAAGCATAAAAAACACTTGACTTTGGGGAAATGTTTCTTAATTTAGGTTAATTTTGTAGATTTGTCTGTGGAACATGTATCTTTGGTCTTGTTGTCGGGCAGAAACTTTATTGTGTTTTGTATCCAATTAGATTCTTTGTAAAAGTATTCACAAACTACACAACTCACGTCTGACTAATGCAGAGGGAGAAGATGAAAGTTTGTATATTTGTCACTATAGAACTCTAGGAACGTTTTATTTTTTAATTGTTTTATAATTTGTATCCTGAAATTGTTGCAGCTTTTCTGTGTCATGGCATTGATTATTTATTAAAACATCTTTTATTCTTGAATCTTGAAAACTCTTTAAATCACTGAGTAGTCATTGTGAGTATTATCAACCAACAGGTGCTGGCCCTGGACTGGTTCTGGTTCTGCTTCTGAGCTGAGTATTCCGAGTCCCTCCAGAGGCAGTGGTAGTAACCATAGCGACACACTGTATACTTGCTGTATTTCAAGTGATATGTTTTTAGCACTTCTTAAAAGTTAGTAAAGTAATAAAACGTGTACAAAACGTAAAACATAGATAAATCCGCGTTAGACCTTTGTCCAATAATGAGCTGACTGCAAAGAATGACCATATGTTGATGTGAGTTCTGTGAGAGGGGCTCGGAGTGCAGCCACTGCTCCCCCAACGCTGAGACGAGAGGAAGTGTGGGTTGAAATTAAAATCTCATGGGTCCACACATGAGAACGTGAATGGAGGATGAGTGGACATAGAAGGATGCATAGAAATAAAGAGATGACCAGAGAGAGAGAGAGAGAGAGCAGGGAGAGACCAGAAAGACCAGAGAGAGACAGAGAGATCAGAGAGAGACAGAGAGATCAGAGAGAGCAGAAAGACCAGAGGGAGACAGAGAAAGAAAGACCAGGGAGACAGAAATCAAAGAGTAACCAGAAAATGACTCGAAACACCAGAGAGAGAGCCCATAGAGAGACCAGGACGAGACCATGGAGAGACTAGAAACACCAAAGAGAGGGGACCAGGAAGAGACCTGAGGGAGACTAGAAACACCAGAGAGAGAGAGACCAGGAAGAGACCAGAGAGAGACTAGAAACACCAGAGAGAGAGACCAGGAGGAGACCAGAGTGAGACTAGAAACACCAGAGAGAGAGACCAGGAAGAGACCAGAGGGAGACTAGAAACACCAGAGAGAGAGAGACCACTCCCTCCTCTCTCTCCTCCTGAATCAACCATCAACAGCTCTGACCTGGACTTTGCTGCTGTCTTTCTGTCACTTCCTTCACGTGTCTGAGACTGTGCTGCTGTTGATTGGTAAAAATGTTTCCTCAGGGTTTGTTTTTGGAGATCTTGGAGTTGTTTGATCCTCTAAATCAGGGGTGTCGGACTCATTATGGTCAGGGGCTGAGCTGTTGTTGTGTCCTTGGCAAGACACTTACCTCTGGGAACACCAGGTGCCACAGTGGGGCGGCTGCGATGGCTGCTGGCCGATGGAACATACTGGTTGCCTTGTTTCTGTCAGTGTGCCCCAGGGCAGCTGTGGCTACAGTAGTAGTTTATCACCACTGTGTATGGAGTGAAATTATAATGACATGTGAAGCGTCTTTGAGTGTCCAAAAACGTCTGCATAAAACCAATGCATTATTATTATTTTAACTCCGTTAGCTGTAAAGGAGGTGGCTAAAGCTAAATGCTAACGACTCACTCGGGCGCAGTACATGCGTCACTGCAAACCTCAGATCGAATCGTTTCAATAAGTTAACCCCTCCCACCTGTTAACAGAGCTCAAATCCAGCAAACCCAAACCTTAGTACGAAATGAAATGTGTACGATGGTATGGTAAGACCAGGCTAGTCCATAAGAGGCAGAGGGGGTCGTGTTTTACTTGACTTTTGGAGTTTGGAACAAGGCTTTTCCTTTAGTTCTGGTAGCCGCGTCGCCATGGTTACGGGCTGAAACGCCCCGGATGCCCTGGAGCCGGCAGCAGACTTTTTTGTGCAGTGAGTTTCAGGCTCTCGAGTGTCTCATTGTGCTGGATGTGTCGGAGCAGAGCTGGCCTCAGGGACTCTCATGTGGATCAGTCTCAGAGACAAACTCACTCTGAGCTGTTGTGTGTGCGGAAGGGGCGGCCTCACATATGCATGTAGTAATTTTAAAAAACATTTACAGACGTGAAATTTGCAGTAAAACCTCATTGGAATACATGTGCAAAAGTCCCCAGTGCGCACCAGACAAGTAGATACTACATCAAACAAGCTAAAATAAAAGTACAGGAATAAAACAAAAGCTAAAAAGGTACAGGAATATAAGAAGCTAAAAAAGTACATACATAAAACAAGCTAATAGTGTAGGAACAAAAACAAGCTGCTAACAAAACATATAACCGAAAGATTACCGCTAACTTCACGTCCGAATGTGGTCCGAGCATAGATAGTCCGAGCATAGATAGTCCGAGGCGGTCCCGCAGGTCTCTCCCATAGACAAGTCTCTCCAGAGGATACGATGTAAGCTAGCTATGTTCACCCGGGCTTGATTTCTTCTTTGATTTTTTTTTGCTTTAGTTCCCTCTTCTCTTCCTCACTGTTGTGTGGTTTGGGCTGTTTTTCTGTGTCTGCAGTTACAGCCAGAGGAGTTATAGCCACTTATGCTAACATGCTACCGTGCAAGCTTCACACTAAAGTCTCTACTGAGCACTTTTTACGACCATGAATTCATACACAAGTTGAATCAATGAGCTCAAGTCTTCAATTAAATAATGGATTATAATACAACTTGTGTGTAGTAATAAGCATTTTTATGATCTCATTAGAAAATAAATCGGGTATAGCATCTTTAGCAGTTTGATAAAAATGTTTTGACTGGATTCAGGTTGTTTTGAGCTCTAAAGGAGGTATGACATGTCTACAATGATACACAATACACACAGATGAAGTTGGCTCAATGTAAAATAAAATCATTTTTAGACACATGAGAATCAGAAATGCATTTTTGTGCCATGATTACAAATAAGTGTTGATAAATATCCATAAATGTGGAATGTCCTCGATCATCCCACTGTAATTCCCATCAACCCAAGTGGATGCCAGTGGCCTCCCGTAATCCCTGGATCTCTCCCAATCTATGAAATCTCGGTCCAGAAAAGAGCAGGGCAAGACTCCGATAGAGACCAGAGAGAGAGAGAGAGAGAGACCAGAGAGAGAGAGAGACCAGAGAGAGACCAGAGAGAGACCAGAGAGAGAGAGAGACCAGAGAGAGAGAGAGACCAGAGAGAGAGAGAGACCAGAGAGAGACCAGAGAGAGACCAGAGAGAGAGAGACCAGAGAGAGACCAGAGAGAGACCAGAGAGAGAGAGACCAGAGAGAGAGAGAGACCAGAGAGAGACCAGAGAGAGACCAGAGAGAGAGAGACCAGAGAGAGAGAGAGACCAGAGAGAGACCAGAGAGAGACCAGAGAGAGAGAGAGAGAGAGAGTGAGACCAGAGAGAGAGAGAGAGAGAGAGAGAGAGAGAGAGAGAGAGAGAGAGATAACTCATCTATCTCCATCCAGAATTTTTCCACAGTGTTGCTTCCCTGTCCTTACTTCCTGTGGCTGAGTGCAGGCATTAGACGGAGCCTTGTATTGATTTTTAAAGAATCCCAACTACTTCCTGAACGGCGCTGGTGTCGGCAGAGCTGCCCTCACTCCCCGCCTCCTCACACTGGCACTGCTCATGCATAGGGCTACATTCTCTCTTCTTAGTTTCAGTTTTGATTTTATATTTTCAAATCACGGTCGAAGCTAGGTCTTTCTGAGTGGAGTTTGTATTTTCTCCCTGTGTCTGCCTAGGTTTCCTCCAGGTGCTGTGGAGTGAGAGACCAATACCCATATTTGTAAAGTGCTTTGTGACTCTGGTCCGTGAATGGCGCTGTATAAATAAATATGGCTTACTTACTATTTGCCAGATGTACGTATCGTGTTGTTCTCTCAGCACAAGGACTTAAGTCTGGAAAAAACAACCTAGAAAACTTCCCAGAGCAGACATTTCAGTAAGGCCCTCTGAAGCTAAGCAGAGCACCGCCTGGTTAGTGCGGTGATGGGAGACCTCTGGAAGCAGCAGGTGCCACAGTGGGGCAGCTGCGGCTGTAAAGTGGCAAACTGTTCTTGTGTCCTTAGGCAAGACCAGGAAGTACGACCATATTAGTCCGGTCCTCAGGTCTCTGCACTGGCTTCCTGTGGCTCAGAGAAGAGACTTTAAAACAGCTCTGCTTGTGTACAAATCTCTCCATGGCCTCGCACCAAAATACATTAGTGACATGTTAGTCCCATATGAACCAGCCCGGACTCTGAGGAGCACTGTGATTATTTATGCTTTTATTATGATTTTTTGTTCTGTTCAGCACTTTGCAATTGTGTATGAATTGTGCGATACAAATAAACTTGCCTTGCCTTGGTCTCCTCAGGTTCAGGGTTTCTGGTCTCTCTGGTCTCTACTTGTCACTGGTCTCAACTCTCAAGTCTCAGGTCCCTAGCGTACCAGGTTCCAGGTCTTATCGGGGGTCTGCTGGTCTCTCAGTCTCATCAGGGTCTCTTCGGTCTCTGAGTCTCATCGGTGTCTATGTTCAGTCGGTCCTTAGTCTCACTCAGGTCTCTTGGTCTCCATCTGGTTCAAGTCTCTGGTCTCTGGTCTCAGGTCTATGTTTCTGGTCTCTATTCTCTGGTCTCTGGTCTCATGGTCTCTTGTGTCTCTGGTCTCTGGTCTTGTATCTGGTCTCTGGTCTAGGTCTCTGGTCTCTGGTCTATCGAGTCTCTGGTCTCTGGTCTCTGGCTCTGGTCTCTGGTCTCGTGGTCTCTGGTCTCTAGTCTCTGGTCTCTGATCTCTGGTTCTCTGCTCTCAGGTCTATTTTTCTGGTGACACATGGTTTCTATCTGTCACTTCAGATGTTGCTGCGGTCACATGATGCAAAGGGGGTGGTCCCTTCGCACCATGTGACCCGGTCCAGTCTTGACATGAACCAGGAAATGCTTTTGAGCAGAAACAGCAGCAGCAGAAGTTCAGGAGAAACGAAACTTACACAGAGACAGAAGAGAGTGTCGCTCTACAGTCAAACTACAGACTTTGCTATTTCTCTCATCTCTGAGTAAAAAGGTGAGAAGGTTTAAGATTTAGATTTAGAATTAGATAGAATTCTATATTGCATATTCTGACATTATTCACATTATTATTGCACAGATACTTAAGTAAAGTAAAGTGACAGTGGACGCATGTGATTTGAGTAATGAGCAAGTCATGATTTTAATAATTGTTGTCTGTCACTGCTGTGGTAAGAGTCTGTGAGGGCTCTGTTGAGGGCTCTGGTCGGTCTCAGTCTGGTCTCTGGTCTCAGTCTGGTATCTGGTCTCAGTCTGGTATCTGGTCTCAGTCTGGTATCTGGTCTCAGTCTGGTCTCTGGTCTCAGTCTGGTCTCTGGTCTCAGTCTGGTCTCTGGTCTCAGTCTGGTCTCTGGTCTCAGTCTGGTCTCTGGTCTCGGTCTCAGTCTGGTCTCTGGTCTCAGTCTGGTCTTGTCTCTGGTGGTATAGTCTGTAGTGTTTTCCTGTTGAGGTCTCTGGTCTGGTCTCTGGTCTCAGTCTGGTCTCTGGTCTCAGTCTGGTCTTGTCTCTGGTGGTAATAGTCTGTAATGTTTTGCTGTTGAGGTTTCTGGTCTGGTCTCAGTCTGGTCTCTGGTCTCTGGTCTCAGTCTCGTCATTGTCTCTGGTGCGTAATAGGTCTGTATGTTTTGCTGTTGAGGGGTTCTGTCTGGTCTCAGTCTGGTCTCTGGTCTCTGGTCCTCTGTCGTCTCAGTCTGTCTTGTCTCAGGTGGTAATAGTTTCGTACAATCCTAGAGCAGAGCTGGCTCAGCAGTGATCAGGCTTTCTGTGTGGAGTTTGATCGGATCAAATAACAGAACCTTCATCACAGTCAGGAAATGTAGTTTGTGTTTCTCTCTGTGTCCGGGTGGGTTTCCTCCAGGTGCTCCGGTCTCAAAACATGCATCATGGGTAAAATCTTCCTGCAAATGCCCTGACCATGAGTCTCAACATGTGGAGATGGGTCCTGCTCTTGACAGGTTCCCAGAGTCACTAGGGCCAAGTGGTAATGCAAGAATAGGTCAAATGCAGAAGACAGATTTCCCTGTATTGTGTAATTGTAGACTTTTGTTAGACCACTAATCTACACAAGGCCCATTTCTCACCAACATCTCTTGTTGCAGTGATGGCAGCAGTGAGCTTCACGCTCTGTGAGGAGCAGTTCCTCTGCTCCATCTGTCTGGAGGTCTTCACTGATCCAGTCACAACATCATGTGGACACAGCTTCTGTTGCATCTGCATAAACCGACACTGGGACTGCAGTGTCCGCTGCAGCTGTCCAGTCTGTAAACATGACTTCAGACCAAAACCACAGCTGAAGGTCAATACTATTTTAGCAGAGATGGTCTCTCAGTTCAGATATAAGTCCCAAGATGAAGACACAGGGATAGAGGCTCAATCCACTGCTCCAGGAGAGGTGCTCTGTGACCTGTGTCCAAAGCCCAGGCTCAGAGCCCTGAAGTCCTGCCTGGTGTGTCTGCTGTCGTACTGTGAGAGCCACCTGCAGCCTCACCTCACTAACCCCCGTCTGAAGAGGCACCATCTGATCCACCCTCTGCCCAACCTGGAGGAGCACATCTGCCCTGAGCACCAGTGGCCCCTGGAGCTCTTCTGTAGGGACCACTCACTGTTGGTTTGTCTGAAGTGCACAGCTGAAGAGCATAGAGACCATCAGACAGTCTCTCTGAAGGAGCAGGGAGAGGATCAGCTGGCCACGCTGAAGCTACAGATCAAAGAAAGACGTGTGAAGGTCCAGGAGATCCAGCGCTCAGTGGAGCAGAGTCAGAGAAAGGCAGACGCAGAAATACAAGAAGGCCTCAGAGTCTTCACCGCTTTGCTGGAGCGTGTTCAGCAAAGTGCAGACAGCTTCAAACAGAGCATTAGAGAAAAGCATCAGAAGGTGGAGGAGGAGGCGTCTCAGCTGATAGAGCAGATCCAGACAGAGATCTCTGAGCTGGAGCAGAGAGGAGCTGAGATGGAGCAGCTGTGGACCTCTGGAGACCACCTGTCCTTTGTCCAAACCTTCACCACAGTCAAACCTGCTCCACAGCTCAGCGACTGGAGCCAGAAGACTGTCAGGACCCCGTCGTACAAGGGGACAGGGGCCCAAGCTGTGTCTGAGCTGAGCGGCAAACTGAACATGGAGATGGAGGCGTTCTTTGAAGTGGAATTTGAAAAAGCACAAGAATTTGCAGTTGAGGTTTCTCTAGATCCAAAAACGGCACATCCAGACTTGGTTCTGTCTAAAGATCTCAAACAGGTTTATGACTGTGACCAAACACAGACTCTCCCAGACAACCCTGAGAGATTTACTTATTTGGGGTGTGTTTTAGGGAAACAAAAGTTCTCATCGGGAAAGTTTTATTTTGAGGTTCAGGTCAAAGAAAAGACATCCTGGGAAGTAGGAGTGGTTAAAGAGTCAGTGGATCGCAAAGCAGAAGAAGACTCTCTGACTGTACAGAAAGGATACTGGACACTCAACTTAGATGATGATTACAAAACTTCAGACGACCCTCCTGTAATTATCTCTGTGAAGGGCCGTCCAAAGAAGGTTGGTGTGTTTGTGGATTATGATGAAGGGCTGGTCTCCTTCTATGATGTGGATAAAGAGTCTTTCCTTTATTCTTTCACTGACTGTTGCTTCACTGAGAACATTTTGCCGTTTTTCGATCCACACGGCGACTCTGCCCCTATGGTCCTGAAGCCTGTGAGGCAGTTGGTTCAGCATTACAAAAAGTAATAAAGTCAATCTGGCTAAATGTGTTTTGAGCCCACCTCTACCTGCACAACTTCTCGAACGGCTCCTGAAGCATAATTTGTTTTTCTCCAAACTACAACCAAAATAGAACCAAAAGCAACAAGTGATGGAAAATAAACAAGAAATGGCTCTGGCAACGGGACATGCAAAATGATCTTGTTTTAAAAAGATGGCCATACCTGCATGTGAAAGAGGGATCCAGTCAGACCTCTAAAGCTGTGCAGGGCAGGGCCTGGTTAGTACTGTGATGGGGGACCTCCGGGAACCTCAGGTGCCACAGTGACACTTCACCCACATTGCCTAGAATGAGTCTGGTGTGTGTGTGAATGGCTGGTGGTGTTCAGAAGCGGCCAATGGCACAGACTGGTTATCTCGCTTCTGTTAGTGTGCCCCAGGGCAGCTGTGGCTACAAGAGTAATGATATGTGAAGCGTATTATAGTGTCCAAAAGAGCACTAGATGAAACTGGTTTATTGTCATCAAAAGATCCAAGAAATGTCTCTCGAAATGAGAAAAAATGCAACAAAGCGCTCCAGTCATAATTATGCACAAAGGACCAGCGACTGCCCGGGAACCGCCGGCTTTTTAAATTAAACAATGTCACGTCTCGGTGTCCTATAGCCGCCTCTCGCATCCCGTTACTAAAGGCTTTGCAGAAACATGCTTTTTCTAGGATTTTAGCAGATACAGCACAGAAAAATCCAGCCTGGTGCTACACAAGTTATACAAAGTTCTGTTTAATCTCGGGTGTTGTTAGGTCCAGGAGCAAATTCTCTATTTCTGTCTCACTAAAAGTTGTAATGGGGGGGGGGGGAGGGCAAATGTCCATGCTACAACCCAGTCTGCATTAATAAATATGAAACACTAGCTGAACACTGCAAAAAGTGATGAGAAATAAGTACAAATTTGCTAATGGGACAAGCTAAATTATCTGTTTTTAAAAGATGCAAGAAATTTCTCCCTCTTGAAGTCATAATGTCCTCAAATTAAGATCAAAACCATTGCAATCCGAATCCATTCTGAGGAGGTTTTGAGGCTACATTTTCATGCACCGTCCAGTTAGCTCGGAGGCTCTGAGAGAGTTCTGAATAAGTGTAAGGACAAGATGTTGGCCTGAAAGTTGTGCGAATTAAAATTAGCCCAGACCTGAGACAAGGAGATATCAGGAGGTTGTATTGTTCAATTAGCATTTATTAGCAGTTTTAAGCAAGGTCCCAGACAGCTCCAAAGTCTGGTCCATGGGCGCTCCTGCAGAAGTCAAGCAAGAGTCTACATAAGTCTAAACAACTCTGCCGAAGTCTGGTAGTCACAGAGAAGGACGGCGCTTATATAGGCCTTAGATGCTGACGTAAACACATAGACTCGTAGCTTTGATGGACAGGCCACGTAGGTATAGGAAAGCTGGCAATGTAAACAAGATAGTATATCTATTTACTGCACGTGGATTCCTCTGTATGCAGTTTTAAAATACAGGTGTTAGCATATTTGAAACTCCATAGAAAAGCAATATCTAGATATTCACAGTTGCATGGACAAAAGTTGCTACTGTTAAGCCTAGTGTTGATTAGTGTTGATTCTTGATACAAAAAAAAGTTTTAAAATGTTGTATTTCATTACATTCAGACCAAGAAACCTGGACTAAACCAGTTCTAAACAAGCTTCAAACCAAGTCTTTATCAGGACTAATTCAGATCTAAACCTAAAATCTACCCCAGCTCTCTTTTTTTCAAAATTTGACAAAAATTGCTTTTATTATATCAACCCAAAATTAGAACAACCCTAAAGAGAATGTGTGTATCAGTGTGTGGGGAATGGACTGTCTGAAGAATTGAAATCATGCCCAAATAGTATTGACCAGATGCATCGACGTCATCCAGTCACGTGATTGTGCATGAGCTTACGGCGGAAGTACTGGAAACTCCTCACACTGGAGCAGATTTAAATGCACATTTTGCTGGTAGCATTAGCACATTAGCAATAGTCCACTTTTCTGTCTACATCTCAAACATGATACTGATATTGACGGAGAGGAAAATGGTGAAAAATGCAACTGACGTCTAAGATATGATAAGAGATCCTTCATTCGTGCCACAGTGGGGAAATTTCAATGTTGCAGCGCACAGACAGGACAGTAGTAAGAGACATGTTCATACATCCAAACAAATGAATGGAAATAAAATAAATACAAATTTATGATTGATTTATCTTGTAAAAAGTGTTCACTGCAAATTAGGGAGTACTTGGATGGCTCCAAGTCCTTTTGGTTGATTGCCGCCATTGTCGTCTTCTGTCTTCATGACGAGCAGGTATCAGATAAAAAACACATTTGGCTTATGTCTAATTAGAACAACCAACCGCACTGCAAAATATCACAGTTTTGGCTGTTATTCGGTGAAACATGTTGAAATGGTCAAGTTTCTGAAGGCTCGCAGTTAGACTTCCGCCGTCTGTCATGGAGAGTGGGCGTGGCCGGGACGTCACATGCACGGGGTCAATATTCAAAAAAATAAAATAAAATACTGGGCATTGTTCTGGTGTTAGGAGAGGGGTGTGTGGTCGGAGAGTGATTGGACCAGTGTGTGCGTTTGTTTGTGTTTCTGTGTATGTTTGTCTGATTGAGTGTTGAGTGTAAGGGAGGGGGTTGGAAATGTTCAGGCGTTTATTGAGCCAACCGCCAATCCAAACCTTGTATATTGTAATATATTGTATAATTCTGTTTATCAAATTATGTTAATGATGGTTTTGGAATAAACAAATAAATGAAATGAAACTGATTCCTTGCTTGTTGGTATTCTGTATTTTAGTTTGGAGTGTTTGAGCTTGTATTGTTGTATTGTGTTTGTCTTTTTGTACGAACTCTACTACATATCGCTCATGTAACTTATTTGACAATTGCCCCAGTGGGAATGAATACAAAAGTCTGTCTGAACCTGTTTTTCAGTGAGTTGGAGTAAAAAAATGCACCCAGGGATGAAGCCTACATCAAGTCGACAACCAAACTTTGCTCCCGTTTGCAACATTTTAATCCATTGTTCTGCTCCAAGGTCTGGTGAAATAATTGAATTAGCGCCCCCTACAGACTATGTCAAAGTTCTTTATGGGAACAATAACATTTAGTTTTTTTTAAATGTTTGCAATTTTGCACATAAATCTGTTTTGCCCTCTTGATTAAAAAAGTCAAAGAAACCCAATGCTTATTTTTTACCCTGTTGCCGTGGCGATGACAAACGCCCCTCATTCTGTGTCAATGGCAAATGTACACCTCGCACAAACATCAAACCAGCCTCGACCGTTTCACAGATTTGGCTGAAAATCGCTCCACATCATGAACCGCAGTAGTTGTTCATAGAATTTGGATTCGTCACATGATCATCCAATGGAGAATGTACATGAATATATAATTGTATATTATATATGGACACACTGACAGATTATACATGTGCTCCTGTTTACACAAACAAAGTCTGATTTGTTATAAACTTGACTCGGCTTTTTAACACTTGGGTCTAGGTCACCTGAAGGAGTGAAATATTAATTTGGCTTTTTTGCGCCCCCTACAGACCGAGCCAAAAATGTCCATGGGGAGCCACACCAACTGATCATATTCATTACAATTTTACAAACATTGTTCTATTGCTGCAGGAGCCAATAATGGCGCGGCGGCGCACCCTCCTTTGCGCGGTGCGGCGAGGGCCGTTCGAAGCTTTAATTCTTTAAATTATTTTTACTTCATACATCATCATTGTTTTACCTATTCTATTTTGACTCGTACAAAGATGGTAAACTTGTATATTTCAATTTATCACTTTTATCTTGGTGCAGCACTTTGGAAACTTGTTTTTATTTTTTATGTGCTAAATAAATAAAGTGGGACCTGCGAGCAGCTCATCTGTCTTTTATTGTTTTCCTAAATTGTCTTGATAGAATTGCGCTCATCTGTTCAAAAGTCATAGGAGTTGGACAGAGAGAACTGTCCGCTCTCTTTAACCCTCTGGTCTCTCCCTGGTCTCTCTCTGGACTCTCTGGTCTCTCTCTCTGGTCTCTCTCTCTGGTCTCTCTCTCTGGTCTCTCTCTCTGGTCTCTCTCTGGTCTCTCTCTGGTCTCTCTGGTCTCTCTCTGGTCTCTCTCTGTTCTCTCTCTGGTCTCCCTCTGGTCTCTCCCTTGTCTCTCCCTGGTCTCTCTCTGGTCTCCCTCTGGTCTCTCCCTGGTCTCTCCCTGGTCTCTCCCTGGTCTCTCCCTGGTCTCCCTCTGGTCTCTCCCTGGTCTCTCTCTGGTCTCTCTCTGGTCTCTCTCTGGTCTTTCTGTTCTCTGATCATGTTTTGAAGGACGAGTTCACTTCCATCAGGACAATGTTTTGTTGCACCATGTTGTAAAACCAAATGTCATTTATAATGTTTTGTCCTGCAGCCTCTGTTAGCCTGAACTCTCTGCAGCTGGTGTTGATGTGGACTTTGATGTTTGAGCTTTATTGTTGTTTTATGTTCATATGTTTGTTTGGGGCTCCACTTCAAGTCATATCACTTATATATTCACTTTTATTGTTTTTATTTTTATTTGATGTGCTTGTCAAATGAATTGCCCCAGGTGGGACAAATGAAGTAGTCTGAATCTGAACACAGATAGTCCACACACATGGTCTACACATATGGTCCACACAGATGGTAGACACGCATGGTCCACACACATGGTCTCACACACACATATACGCACACACATACTCACATGCACACACACTTACAGACACACACAGACACACACGCACCTCATTGATTAGCTTCTGTTAAAGGGGTCAGAACATTTGCACTTGTGTGTGATCAATAGGAGCTTGTGTGTGTGTGTCGTATGTGACAATGACACAGATGTGTGTTTGGAGGCTCCACAGCTGTAACACATTCTGTCACATTTACACAGAAATACATCTGTAAATACAAACGGAAAATATACATATTCCAACACACGAGGAAACTATGGCAAATACTGTTGCTTGATTGTATATTTATGTATATATAGTTCCATGTATATGCTGTGAGCGCAGTAGGCAACAAGACAGTGTACAAAAGTATCTCCATAAACCAAGGAATGTAAATATTGTTAATACTTATGAATGAATACAATCAATAAAATCAAATCAAGGACTAAGGATCAACAAGAAACTGTAAGACTAGACATTTGTGAGACAACATTGCAGTAATTCACGTTTCCCTATCTTTTTTCCCGACCTGAACAGAAAGAGCATTGAAAACTGTTTATGATTAGTGGAAGGACAATTATTTAATTTTCATTTCTTCGGAGATTTGGGTTGATGCCAAGCCCCGGTGATCCAAGGTGGCAGCGTATTCAAATGATTGGCTTGTGCTCAGTAGCGCATGGGACTTCACAGGCGCTGACAAACTCGCCTGTATTTGGGCATCGTCTGGTCCTCCCGGTTCGAGCTCCCATGAAGTGTTGCGCCAAATTTGCGTGTGTGGCTCTCATGCACGTGCACAGAGGGGCTTGGCCGCGTTTTGACCAATCAGAGCAGTGGTAGAGCGGAGCCAGAGCGGGAAGGAAAGGAGCAGAGTGTGTGACAGTTAAGTGTGGATTTAAAGAACACCGAAGAATTTAATATAAAAAAAAGTTCAGGCTGACAAGGGACACTAAAATCCCCTCAAAATCCGATCTTTATGAAAGCTGTAGGTTCTCTGTCAGGTTCTCTGTCAGCTGAGGTCGAGTTGTTTTAGTTTACATTGAGAACATTTCTGGGTAGCCCTCGTGAATTTACCACAGCACCCCCTGTGCCCATGGGTGGGACAGCTGTAAGCTAATAATACTCTATCCAGGTACTATAGATCCATGGTTGATGCTCGGTTGTACTTCTTCACCATCCATCACCAACTGTAGACCCTCTTTATACAGGACTTTTAATTTATTTCAAAATATATTACAATGGTGTTAGTTTGTTTTGCTGGGACCAATGAGGGATGTCTAGTATCTTAGGCTCAAGGAGGAACCTCTGAGTTTTCAATACATTGGGTCCTTGTTTAATTGTCATAGTTTTTTATTCAATTTCTGATTCAGTCAAGCTGATATTCAACAGATTCTTGATTTTCAGAAAAATCTACAATTCTTTCACTGCTAATTATTGTCAGTGGCACTAAATAACCTGGACTCATGGGCTCCACCCCCATGCATGCCTGTGAGACTCTTGTGAGTCCTGGATTTACAGCTTGTCTGTCCATGGGGGCAGATCCCTTTCTCAATGTGGGCTTCCCTGAGATGTCTTCTTTTTTTTTTCACTCACATTTTTTTTTCTCTTGTTCCTCGCCGATACAGGAGGGTCTAAGAAAAATGAGTTTCCAGGATATTTAAGGACATTTTTGGACAGTGGTTTTTCCTCTCCCCATGTGTTTGTTATTATTGAATATTCTGTGTTCCAGCTGTTTCATTTTCTAATCTGTTGCTGGCGAATGAACAACTGTGTGAAGTCCTCCCCGACCACATGATTTGGGGCAATACAAAAATATCAATTGAACTGTTTTAAAGCAATACTATAGTTTATTTTGTATTGATTTGAGAATGAGAAACCCCAGCTTTAATCTCCCTCCTCTGTCCTTCTCTGTTCCCGGTCTCCTGCAGATGTCATGGCGTCCGACTTACCGAAGCTCCAAGTTTCGAAACGTGTACGGGAAGGTGGGGAGCCGTGATCAATGCTTTGACGGCATCCCCATCACCAAGAACGTCCACGACAGCCACTTCTGCGCCGTCAACGCCAAGTATGTCGCCGTGGTGACGGAGAGCGCGGGCGGAGGCTCCTTCATGGTCCTCCCCATCAAACAGGTACGGCCACACAGACACTGTTTATTGGATGGATGGATAGATGGATGTATGTAAGGATAGATAGATAGATAGATGGATAGATGTATGGATGGATGTATGGATGGATAGATAGATGTAAGTATGTATGGATGGATGGATAGATGGATGTATGAATGGATGGATAGATAGATGTAAGTATGTATGGATGGATGGATAGATGGATGTATGGATGTATGGATGGATGGATAGATAGATAGATGGATAGATGGATGGATGGATAGATGCTGATCCCTGTAGGAGAAATTCAGGTGTCCGGTAGCAGCAAAAACACATCCATCCACACAAACAAAACTAATACATTGATTTC